CCCCCCCCCCCCCCCCCCCTCCCCCAACTTCTGCTTGCTTCACACCGGACCGGACCAGCTGCCAACACCAATCAAGCGCGAGACGGACGCGCAAGACTAGTGCCGCCTGCACGACCATATACAGCACGCACAAACATGGGGAAGCCGAAAGCCCCAGGGGGGAAGGACGGAGCCGGGAAGCGGCGGGAGGAGAAGGAGCAACACCACCTCGCCACGGCAGGCGACGATGACGACGAGCAGCAGCAGCAGCAGCAGCAGCAGCAGACCCTTACCTTCATGCAGCACGACTTCGGCCTGGACCGCAGGCTGGTGAAGGCGGTGGCAAAGATGGGCTTCGTGTACCCGACCCTGGTGCAGAACAAGTGCATCCCGCTGGCGCTCCGGGGGAAAGACTTGCTGGTGGGTGGGTGGGTGGGCGGCGGTGTCAGATCGATGGGCGTATCAGCAGCCCCGCCAATGTTTTTTTTCCTGCAGGGGGGTGATGGATTCCGTGTTTGTCAAGCAGTGTCTTGAGGAAGGCGCAGGGCTTGCTACGTCTGGTTGTGGTGCTGTCTGAACCCTTTCGTCGCCAAGTATCCCCCCCTCGCGCGATTTAGACAGGATAGTTTTTGAGCCACCGTTGGCTGAGCAGGATGGAACGTCTGGCCATCGGCGATCGGTCCTGCGGGAAAGATACTCCGTCCCCTCGAGGACGCGCGGTCAATGATCTAACAGCTAAGGCATGCAAAACTCGAGTGCCCCCCCCCCCCCACATACCTGGTTTGGCACAGCAAAATGCGAGGGTGTTGGCCAGCTTCTGGTCCATCGTTCCTTGTAAAACGTCCCCTGGGCCGGCGAAAACCCGGACATTTCGCTTCGTCCCGGCATTATTGTAGGGATGCGAGGTCACTTCCCTAACGACAACGGCATGTGTTTACATGAGTACCCCCCCCCCGCGCGCGCGCGCACGCTCGCCTGCTGACAGGTCAGGGCTCGTACCGGGTCCGGGAAGACAGCTGCCTTCGCCCTGCCGCTGCTGCAGAAAATCCTGAGGCGCAAGGAAGCCGAGCCGGGGTTGCCGAGAGGGGTGCGGGCGGTGGTGCTCGTGCCGACCAGAGAGCTCTGCGACCAGGCAAGTTCGATTGTTGTGGGGGGTTACTCATCATGTAAACCCGTGCGGCAGTTGTTGGGGTCAGCTTGGGACGGGGTCTGAGGAGATGAGGGGGCCGAGTTTTGTACTACTTCTCGCTGTCGCACACGCACTGAAAACATAGCTAATAAAATAACCCCACGCGCGTCATGCTCTACATGTGTGTGTGTAGGTTATACACCGTCATGTACGGCATAGGGACACGTAGGCATACGGGGCGAACACGCTATTTTTTGCGGTCTTTTATTCCATAACTCAGCACGTAGTAACACACAATCCCTATGTCCTTGTCCTGCCCCCCAGGCGCGTGCCCACCTGTCCGAACTGATGCACTACTGTCGGGACCAAGTGTCTCTGCTGGCCCTGGTGGACGACAACATGGCGGCGCAGGAGGCCGCTCTGAGAGACAAGGCGGACGTGCTGGTGGCCACCCCCGCCAGGCTCGTGGCGCATCTGAAGGCGGGAAATGTGGAGCTGAAGGACACGGTACGCCACAGCAGGAATGGAACCTCCACGCGGCCTCATTTGGCACCCCTACCGCCCACTCCGTTTTTCTTTTTGGCACCCGTACCACACACTCAGTGCTTTTCGCTGTCTGCGACAGGGGGTGTTGGCCGGGTACGCAGCCTTGGCTTTGAAGCCAGAAATCAGAAGGTATTGGGACAGACCTGAGTTGGCATCGACATCGGCCGCGCCGGACAGGCGAGAGGGAATTTGCTTCGTGTCTCCAGGGAAGAGAACGACGTGTTTCTGAGGTGGACACAACAACATGTGTATTTAAAAAAAAAAAAAACCAATCAGATGGAAAATCGAAGAGACAACACCATGTGTATCTTCTAAAACAAAGAAGAACGCCTGAAGTAACCATCAGGCGGAAAACCGAAGACAACAACAAACATGCGTGTATTCTGGACATTATAACGCCTGAAACTGTCAGGTGGAAACCCTGGTAGTGGACGAGGCTGACCTGGTGCTGTCCTTCGGTTACTCGGAAGACATCCGCGCCGTTACGAAGCGCCTCCCCAAGATCTGCCAGGGGTTCCTCATGTCGGCGACGCTGAGCGCGGAGCTGGAAGACCTGAAGCGAGTGGTTTTGCACAGGTGTGGGAGAGTGCGGGTGTACGCTTGCCGTATTAGTCTTTAAAACCATTGTCCTTGCGTTCCTACAATGCCGGGATGGAGCGATACGCAGAGATTTCGCCGCACAAGGTTAGGGATGTGTGTACTCATGTAAACGCATGCCGTAGTCGTTAAACCGTTGACCTCGCATCCGTACCATGTTGGGACGGAGCGATATTCCGGGGTTTCGCCGGCCCAGGCTAAGGTTCACAAGGGTGAACCAGGAAGTGCTGGTGGTGGGGGGGGGTACGAGGGAATACGAGCTTGTGTTGTTTTTTTTTTATGTCGTTTTGTTTTCTTTCCGTGTATGTGCATACGATCGTGAAGTTCTACGTGGTGCGTTCTGACTGCCGTGCAGGATCAACGTTGCTGTCGCTGCTGGTGTTGGTCTACGCCAGGGTGGTAGCAGCAAATACACGTAGCTCTCGCAGCCACGCGTGGACTCGCGTTATCATTTGTGCACAGCCCACTGGCCCAGTGTGGATTTTCTCCTCCAGGTCCGGGACGTACTCACGGGGCATACTCAGTGAGTACGTCGCGCACCTGGAGAAGGTAATGCACATTGCGCCCGTGGGCTGTGCACAAATGATACCGCGAGTCCGCGCGGAGCTGTGGGAGCTCGCGGTAAGGCCGGTTGGAACACCCCCCCGCCATCGGTGATCGGTCCTGTGGGAACAATGCTCCGTCCTCTCGAGGGCCGCGTGGTCAATGGTCTAACCGCTAAGGCATGCAGACATAACAAGAACCCCCACCCCCCGTGCTTGCGATCGAACAACAGCCCGGCGGTGTTGAAGCTGGAGGAGGGCGCTAGGGACGGGCGGCTATCTCAGTTCTACCTGAGTCTCGCCGACAAGGGCGACAAGTTTCTTGTGGTCTTCGCCTTCATCAAGCTTGGTCTGCTAGAGGTAAACCGGCGGTTTTCTTCTTGCCTTTTTCGCTCCTAGTGGGACGGGTGTTTAGCCCTGGCTTGCTGTGACCATGGAGAAGATTTTGACAACGAGTTGGTTTGGATCAAAAGAGTTGGGTTTGGATCAAAATCACAAACGATGACAGCAAAGTGACTTCCGAGGTCGCCATAACTGAGGCCATGATCTGAACGTTTTGCAAGTGGTCACAAACTTCGGTTGTTGCTTTTTTCTTGCGGAAGAGTCGCAAGCCATGGCTCGACTCGCAGACACCGTGCTGCACGTCTGAGTATGGTAGGCCTGTTTCTGCCCCCATGACCAAGGCAAGGTTTTGCTGCAGAAGTGGCTGCTGGAGCAGGGTCGAACAGCCTGGTTCTCTCGCGAAATATGCTGGGCTGAAGTCGCAGCTAGATGTGTTTGGGCACGTGAACATGCGGATGTCCTACTGCTACCGCTACGAACGACTGCGCCCGTGATTCATTTTCTTGCGCGTTTTATATTGACCACGATTGTCAGGGGAAAGGGTTGTTCTTCGTCAATGAAACCGAGTCCTCGTACCGCCTCAAGCTGTTCTTGGAGCAGTTTCACGTGAGGTCTGCCGTCCTCAACGCGGAGCTGCCGCTGAACTCGAGGCTGCACATCCTGCAGGTGAGTCGTTTGCCGATGGATGGGGGGGGGGGGGGGGGGGGGAAAAATTTTTTCCCCGGGAAGGTTTTTACAAAGGGAAACCCCCCTTTTCCCCCCAAAAGGGGTTTTGGGGAACATTGGAAAAAATTTTAGGTTCCCCCCCTGTTTTCCCCCTTAATTTGGGGGGAATTTTTTCCCCTTTTTTTTTTTTTTTGACTCTTTACCCCCCCACCAAAAACCTTAAAACTCAAAACCCAAAATTCAAAAACCAAACCCCCAAACCCAAAAATGTTTATCCCGGAATGGAAGGGGCAAAACAAACCCCCCAAAATTCAAAACTCAAACCCCAAAACCCAAACCCCAAAAAGGTTGATCCCGGGAGGGAAGGGCCAAAAAAAAATTTAAATTTTAAAAAAAAAACCCCCCTTTAAGGCCCCCCAATTTTTTTCCCAAAAAAAAAAAAAAAACCTCCCTTTCCCCCCAAAACCAAAGCCTTTTTAATTCT